GTTGCTGGCTGCACAGGTGTAAACACCTGCATGTCTGCTCCGTGTTGCTGACTGCACAGGTGTAAACACCTGCATGTCTTCCCCATGTTGCTGGCTACACAGGTGTAAATACCTGCATGTCTTCCCCATGTTGCTGACTGCACAGGTGTAAACACCTGCATGTCTTCCCCGTGTTGCTGACTGCACAGGTGTAAACACCTGCATGTCTGCTCCGTGTTGCTGGCTGCACAGGTGTAAACACCTGCATGTCTTCCCCATGTTGCTGGCTACACAGGTGTAAATACCTGCATGTCTGCCCCATGTTGCTGACTGCACAGGTGTAAACACCTGCATGTCTGCTCCGTGTTGCTGGCTGCACAGGTGTAAACACCTGCATGTCTTCCCTGTGTTGTTGACTGCACAGGTGTAAACACCTGCATGTCTGCTCCGTGTTGCTGACTGCACAGGTGTAAACACCTGCATGTCTTCTCCGTGTTGCTGACTGCACAGGTGTAAACACCTGCATGTCTGCTCCGTGTTGCTGGCTGCACAGGTGTAAACACCTGCATGTCTGCTCCATTTTGCTGACTGCACAGGTGTAAACACCTGCATGTCTTCCCCGTGTTGCTGGCTGCACAGGTGTAAACACCTGCATGTCTTCCCTGTGTTGTTGACTGCACAGGTGTAAACACCTGCATGTCTTCCCCGTGTTGCTGACTGCACAGGTGTAAACACCTGCATGTCTGCTCCGTGTTGCTGACTGCACAGGTGTAAACACCTGCATGTCTGCTCCGTGTTGCTGACTGCACAGGTGTAAACACCTGCATGTCTGCTCCGTGTTGCTGACTGCACAGGTGTAAACACCTGCATGTCTGCTCCGTGTTGCTGACTGCACAGGTGTAAACACCTGCATGTCTGCTCCATTTTGCTGACTGCACAGATGTAAACACCGACCCTGAAAGTGACAACTGGAAAGTGACCTGCTCTGGAGCTAGAGCACAGCAGCTATTCAAGAAGCTTCTTGGCACTTCAGGTTACACATGTAACACTGTGTGGCAGGGGTCAGCTCTTAATTTACAGCATCCTTTCAGAATGCATATCTGAAACCCTCATGCCAGCAACCACCGACGTCAGTGACCTTCAGGAGGATATGGTCAAAAATAATTAACAGGTCTGCTTACTTTGTTTCAAAAAGTATATACTGAGATCTGGGTTCTTGAACTTAATTCGTTCTGGAAGGCTGTTGGAGAAGTGATTTGTTTGAAAACCGAATCATTTTTTTCCCATTAGAAATAATGTAAATTGCATAAATCCATTCCAGACCTTCAAATGATTTCCTGCTTTAACCTTTCTTTTATATAGTACATATCTAATGTACTGTTTAATCTAGAAATAAACACTTCTTTTCTTAAATTTATCAAAACCACCTCCTATTAGCCGTAAACAATTTTTTCGTACCTCACTACCTCCAAAATGCTATTACTGTCTACCTGCTTTTCATTTATCCAATCAGCAATGGTTTTTCTACCTATTCAATTGCCTGTGTTTGTTATTTTGTGAGCACTTCACACCCTTAGCAATATTAATGCTCTTTATGTTTTAAAATCGTGCTAATCATTGGATTTCACTGCAACAAAAGCAGTCTCTCCTTTGTGTGTTGCCTGAGAGATGCTTTTTGTCATGCTGAGGTGTCAGCGTGAAAGGCTCGTCAGGTTGAAAACTGAAGTTTTGGTCCACAACTGAGACATATTTTCTGTGAACAACTTGGTGGAGAACCGAATTATCTGAGATGGGAGACGTTCGAGAAACGAGGTGTGACTGTATCTATAGGGCTCATCTTACTGATGTCCATGGTGTACTTGAAGCAGATGTGAAGGGCGCCTTTGAGCAACCTAACCACCTTAACCTTCAAGGACTCAAAAAGAAGAACCGAGTGAAATACAAACTGTCGTTTTAGATGGAGACTTCATGAAACAGAGTAAGCAAAAGCCACGTGAACTGAGTAACGAAGAAAGAACCATGAGAGTTTTTCTCAGCACATATCAGAGTCCAACTCAGCAGCAATAGGCAAACATGTTTGGAACTATACATAGTTGCTTTAAAAAAAACATTTTCTCAGGAAGATGTATTGTTCATGTATCACAAAAAAGCAAGCTATGGAAAATGTGCCTCAACTTCAGTTCATCACAAGCTTACATGGCAAGGGCAAATATATTATACACTGTGTTGATTTGGTCCCCCAGGAATTAAACTTGAAGACCAAGTTAGAAGGTTGAAATGTTTTAGAATTATGCCTGTGAGAGATAATGGGGAGTGGGAGCCAGAGAAGACAGAAAAGCTTCCAAGCTGTGAGGCTCAGCTCCCCTGGGAAAGAGGGAAGGTAAACAGATTGTCTGGGAAAGTCAGCCAGCCCAACAGGGAGCGCAGTTCTAAGACTGCTCCCAAAGGCGTCCTGTGATGACCACAGATGCCCAGGACCGGAAGAGCGTGGCCCCCAGGGGGAGCATGGCCCCCTGTAGGGGGTCCCAAAGAGGCTGCACTGAAGGCTGTCAGCTGACCACACTTGGAGCAGCTCTCTCCTGCAAGAAGGGATGAATGGCACATCTCCATGGTTCCCACAATAAATAGTTACACAAAAGAATCTCTAGATGACTAACTGATATTGGAATCAACATGTTGTTAATCCACACCAGGGTCAGATACCACATGCTTAGCATTGCTCTTAAAGAGTTTGTTTCAATCTAGGATTAAAATATGTGCTATTGGAAAGTATAAGGTGATCCAAGCCTTGTTTAAAAGATATAAAACAATCGTAGCAGCATTATTTACAAAAGCTAAGATCCGGAAACAGCCTAAGTAACCATCAGTAGATGAATGAATAATAAAAAAAAAAATCTATGATACATAAACACAATGGAATACTATGCAACTGTAAAAAAGAAGGATCTCTTACCCTTTGAGACAGCATGGAGGAACCTAGATTTCACTATGCTAAGTGAATAAGCCAGTTATAGAAAGACAAATATCACATGATCTCACTTACATATGGAATTTAATGAGCAAAAGAAATTGATGAACAAAATAGAACCAGAGATATTGAAGCATGCAACAGACTGACATATTTCAGAGGAAAAGGTGGGGGAGGTTTGGGAAGAGAGTAACCAAAGAATTTTATATGCATACTAGAGGCCCAATGCACAAAATTCATGCAAGGGCCTTGGCCCCGGCCTCCATCTGCCGCCCCCTCCCCCCGCCTGCTGCGGCTTTGTCTGCAAGGAAGGACGTCTGTAAAGATGTCTGGTCTAATTAACATATTACACTTTTATTATTAGAGATAGACATAACCCATGGATATAGACAATAGTGAGGTGAAGGTCTAGGGAGACAGTGGGAGCAGGATGGCAGGGGTCAATGGGGAAATTAAAGGGGACATCTATAGTACTTTCAACAATGAAGATAAATAAAAAATAAAAATACACATCTTTAAATATATATAAAATGTATTTTCAGGTTATTACAATAAAATTTAATTTTCTAGATTTTTGGAGATACTAAATAATATCATTTGATTTGAGAGATACTATAATTTCTATCATAAACAAAGGCATTTGATTCCCCTTGAATTTTTCTCATATGTGTCTGATGATTTGGGGTGTCATGTATTCATCTTAATTTTAGCACAAGTAGTTTCTTATAGGAAAACTGTAATATCAAACTTACACTGGCCTGGTTTTGTAAAATATTTATTGAATTATTTATACCCAAATAACCAAAAGAGCCACTTCTCTATGATAAGTACTTTACACTTGCATAGTGTTTGTAATTTACAAAGTACCATTGTAATCTCCCTAACAGTCTTGTGTGATGCGTTTGTATAACTTGATCATCCCTATTTTACAAATGAGGAAACTGAAGTTTATAGAAGTTAAATGAATTGCTAAAAAGGCAGAGATGTGGTGAGATCCCAATCTTCTAAGTACTTAGTTCAATGTTTTTACTGTCAATACTTATGGATATTCTTACTGTGTTGGTGGAGGAAACATAATGTATAAACAAAACAAAAAAGCCTCCCTCTTCGGCATTTGTGTCCCCTGGAGTGACTCTGTAGCATAGTTCTGGCTAATGAGATATAACAACAGGAATCGCTGGGAGCACTTCTGAGAGCGGTGGCAGTCAGCTAGCATGGCCCACTTTTCCTCTGCCCCTATTCCTTCTTCGCGTCTAAAAGTGGGTGTGATGGCTGGAAGTGAAACTGTCATCTTGCATCTCCCTACCACAAAAAAGTCCAGAAAAATCACTGAGACCCAGCACCAGCCCTGTAGCACCCACCCCTGGAGAGTGAAGTGGGAGGGGGGAAACAACTGTCTTGTAAAATACCATGATTTGGTTTTTTATGTCCAACTGAATGCAAATCCTCCTGGTACACTGACCTTCCCCTAATTAACTCATGTATAAGTTCCCTGTTTCAAGAAGCATTTCTTGCACCTCTATAGGCATGCTACAAGAAGGAAGCAAATGTTCCCATCATTGGGGGTTCTGCCACTCCAAACTGGGGAGCACATGTCTGAGGCACATTGCTCACCCTGAACTGTGCCATCAACAACAGCCACTGAATTCTCATGGTGCCTTTTTCGGCAGCTTCTGGATTACTGACTAACGAGGAGCCTCTTTTGGCTGTGCATCCTCTCCACCTGAGCTGCCGCTAGTTTAATCCCATCTCCATCAGTCCCTGATGGCTTCCTCTGTTTCTGCTTTCTCCTCCTTTCCATCATTCCTATATCCCATCATCCATAAGAAATGTGTGTCTAATATATCTTAAATAAGCACATCATTCCTTTTGCTGATTATTTGAACATAGCTTTATTTCCAGCTCTCGGTAGCAGATTCATTGGGCATTGTGAAAATTGTTAAATTCTTCAATGTGTCTAATGTCTGTCTCTTAAAATTGCTTCTGAACATTTATTCTTTTCTCTGAAAGGATAAGCCTATGCATGACTTCATATTTTTAAAGGTGATCTTACCTGTTTTCTGTCAAGTGATAATTTTGAAAGGTCTTCATGACTCCCCAAAATTTCAAATTTCTTTTCTTCATTTCTCTTTTAAAGAGAGATAATAAAATGAGCATAATTGCTAATTGTACATTTGGGATTACAAAGCCAATTTTACTCTTTCTTTATTCCACATTTTAAAGGCCGTCTGGGCTAACCCTCTAGCAGATTTCAATGGGAGAAAAATACTCTTATTGGGGTCTTCCCTTTGGTAAGTGCTTAGATATGTCCTTTCACCTGGAATTCTCTCAGATTGCAGCTCTAATCACAATGTGATTAAGTAAGGAAAGTTTTTGCTACTCAACCCACTAAGTTCTATGTTATACCTCTGGAAAAATGGCATAAATGGCATATTTTTCCAAAATTCTAACACAAAATAATCGTAAAAGTAATGATATTTAAAAAGGGCTTTGGCATTCTCAAAGTACTTTTGCATACTGACTTGATTTGATCTTCGTAATGTAGATATAACCTTTATTTCCATAGTGCAGTTGATAAAAATAGAGCTCAGAGAGTTTATTATTCACTTGAGAACCCCAAGTAGCAAATGGAGCAGGAATTAGAATGTTTTCTTTTTATTCAATGACAAAATCTTATAATTGCAAGGACCTTTTACACATTTGGCTTAATTGACCACCCAGTGTAGGAAGATCTATATGTATTCTAATGTCGGCCGTCTGGCATATTGATTACTTTCAGTGATAGGAGGCTTATTTCTTCATAAGACAGCCCACCACCCTTTTGGGCAGATTTTGTTACAAGTTTATTTTTACATAGACCTAAAATTGAACTATTTGCAACTATCATCTATTGCCTCTCTTCCTATTTTTGAAGGGAGAGAAACAAAACAAATGTACTTCCGAGTCAAAAGTAAGAATTCAAAAGATATTCATGTTCCCCTTCAGTCCTCCTTCTTCCAGTGAAATAGCCAGTTCCTTGAATCCCCCATCATCTGACATCCTATCCACACCTGTCCCCATTCAGGTACTCCTCCTCCGGATGCCTCTAGTCCTCCCGGATGTAGAGTTCTGCACCCAGCAGGGGTTTTTGCGTGGAGTAACCCGCCAGCCCCCCGCCCCCCACCGACACACACAATTATATACAACATTCCACATGTGCTCTAAATATTTCTGAACATACTGTGATCCTCCTAGCCCTTCATCCAAGCAATATCCCTCTTTTATGGTTTCTTGAGATTGCATTGGCTCATGGGATTCTTGTTTCCAATTAGTACCCTTACATCTTTCTTTCCTCAACTACTTACTGCAAGCCTAGTCTCCCATAATGCAGGTGAGCAGTTGATTTCTGAACTTTCCAATGTAGAAGTTACTTAAGAGTCAAATTCCCCCAAGTCATAATCAGCTACTGATGCTTTGCCCAGCTGTATAAATTGAAAGTGAGGTGAGAGACAAATGGCCACAAGTGCAAAAATGGGACCCAGAAAAGCTCTCCCTTTCAGTATCTGCTCCAAATAATGTATTACATTATTTTAGTCACATTTCATGAAATTCTCTTATATTCTTTTAAGTAGGATATGTCCAATGTGCTCCTGTTAAACAGACATAAGCCAAAAGACCGTGCTGAGCTAACTGACTACATAAGAAATAAATGGGCATCTTATAATGGACTGCTTCTTTTCACAGTAATTGTAACAGCCATAGTATTTGCCTGGGCCATTGTGGCTCAGTTGGTTGAGCATCAATCCATGCACCAGACGGTCAGTGGTTCGATTCCCAGTCAGGGAACATGCCCAGGTTGTGTGCTCGATCCCCAGTCGGGGGTGTGAAGGAGGCAGCCAATCAATGTTTCTCTCTCTCTCTCTCTCTCTCTCTCTCTCTCTCTCTCTCTCTCTCCCTCCCTCCCTCTCCCTTCCTCTCTCTCTAAAAATATAAACAAAACATATTTCAAAAAAATTAAATAGCCACAGCATTTTAAAATACAATAAACAATTATCAAGTCAAATTACCTTGTTCATCTCAGTATCCTCCTGGAAACCCTTTTTATGACACGGGAACAGCTCAGAAATCCATTTCTTGAGCTTCAGTAAGAGATAAAACAAAGACTTTGGACTCGGCACCAGGTTGAAGGGAACAGGAAGAGTTCTTCCCTCCTCAAAGTAGGAAAACCACAGTTTGGCCCTTGCAAACTTCCATTCCACATCAGCATCGTCCTATACAAAAAGACACATGACAGTTCAGCAAGGAGATGCGTAAACAAAGCTACTGGGATATCGCCAACACCGTGTGCCTCGCTGCAGTAATGGCGCCTGCAAACACTCCCAGACCCCAAAGACTGCTCTAGGACTTTCCCAAAGGGCTGATTCTGCTCACACTCTCTCCTAAACATGCCTAAAATTTCATCAGGCCAACAGGACTACAGGTCTCAAAATCTGCATGTGTTTATAAATACACTGGCACGTATAAATGTATTTTCCTACATTCTGAAAAGCACTATAAAAATTAGTCACTCTTTTATTCTGCAACAAGTGACTTGTTTGATTAACTCACAGGCCGAGGTTTCTGTAATAAAAATTTATAATCATTCTAAATTTCAGAAAAGGTCAATTATGAACCTCACTCAAAGAGATTTGGAGACCCTGGCCTGTGTACTAGTATACCGGTGGTTAGAGCGACAGCCCACACACTGAAGGGTCCTGGGTTTGATTCTCGGTCAAGGTCACATACTTGGTCAGGGCAGGAGGCAAGCAATTGGTGTGCCTCTCTCAGATCTATGTTTCTCTCTCTCTCTCTCTCTCTCTCTCTCTCTCTCTCTCTCTCTCTCCTCCTCTCCTCTATCTCACTCCCCCTCCTTTTCACTCTCTCTAAAATCAATGGGAAAAATATACTTGAGTGAGGATTTAAGAAAACATACACAAAGATTTGGAGAGCAGTGGTATTCATAAGCAGTACATTTTTGAATAAAATATAAATTAAAACTGAGATAGCAGTTCTAAATTTTTTAACAATGAAGAATCAGACAGCATTTCTCCTCCTTATGTCTTACTCCCCCACACATCCACTGATGCTACATTTGGAAGCAAAGACTAGCTCACTGGTCAAACAATTGTATAAAACAGGGAAAGAACAAAGGAGGGAAAGAAGTCTGGATTTTCATCACCATTGCTGAGTTAAAACATGTAGGCACAGAGTACACAACAGTTAAAACATGTAGGCACAGAGTACACAAAGGTATAGAGATTATACCTCAATCTCCTGGAATGAACTGTTGATCATTGCAATTAACATGTTTAGCAAAACAATGACCATTGTAACGTTATAGACGCCATAAAGAACATAACCGATGTTTTCAATGAACTTGTGATTATAGTTGATGACTACTGATTTCACTTCAGAAAGTCCAAATATAGCCCAGAACAGTGTCTTAAAACTCTCCTCGACTCTGGGGGAAAAAAGATAGAGAAAGGAAATAATAAAGAATATAAATAACTGACAGTGGTTCCATAATAAAAGTGAGTTAATTTAATGTCTTTGCAAATTATTAGGTAGTCATGAAAAAAACTCTTTACTTCCCTAAACCTCAGTTTTTTCTATAAAATGGGAACAATAACTTTTATTTCCAGGATTGTTGCAAGAATGAGATAATATTGTGCATACGAAGCATACAGCACAATATCTGGCACATAATAAGTACTCAATAAATGTTATTAACATGACTTCATAACTACAAATGTTAACATTTAAATAATCCATAGCTTAGGCAATGAAAGTGTTAAATGTATTGCTTAATAATAACAGTTCAATTTGTTAGAGCCCTTTTAAGTTTCCTGCTCATGTATACTTCCACTTATATGCAATAAAGAGTAGATAACAATAGTATGTGTCTTAAGGAAAATATGACAATATAAACATATACTATTACAGATATACACTGTTATCAAAATCACTGACATGTCTTGGTATTTCAATACTTTAGGCATAATTACTGAGCAAAGCTAAGCCTGTTTGTTCATTTTATCTGATAAACCGCACTTCACAAAAATATGGGTAACAATAGGTTATGCTCCAGTTGATGCTTCTGATTGTGACACTGAGGACCTAATATTTGTGTAATCAATTCCAAACATATTTATTAAAAACAAACTAACATGTGTGTCTATGGTGAACATAAGCCAAAACTCTTGTCACTGTTGATAATTCAGATCTCAAAATGATCTGACAAATTAAATTAGGAAAGCAGCTGTGCTCACAGTCAGCACCCCAGCAGTTAAGAGCACAGATGCTGAAGTCAGTGGACAAGGGGTTACGTCCCAGCTTTTCCAAATGCTGGCAGCTGTGCAACAACATTCAGCAAGGTATTTAACTTTCTGAACCTTAGCTTCCTCTTTTTGTGAAATGGAGATAATAAAATCATAGTACAGTACCTGGCTCTAAAAATGTTAGCTATTATCACTTTATATTAGGAAGGTGCTTATATTTTTTAGTTCTTTCAACTCATTTACAAATCTCATTTTGCTGAAGAGGAAAATCAAAGCACTATTTATCCGATGAAAATATGCAAACACTGTTAAGCCAACATTCATTTAATCTGCAATCTTCACCATCAAAACATTTGAGAACATATACATCATGAAGGTCTCGTTTTGTTTTACACAAGATTTATTAAATCTGTAATCATTTAAGCTCATATTTCTTTCATCTGTAATCACCATCATCAAAACATCTGAGATCACATACGTTGTAAAGGCTTCGTTTTGTTTTGCACCAATGTAGTAGGAGTAGAGGTTGAACATTCCAATCATGAAGGCCACAAACACCATGATGAAGATGACCATGAACTTGAAGATGTCTTTTACTGTTCTTCCAAGTGATATCTGCAGGGGTCCAAAGCTTTCATTTGCGGGTAAGATATAAGCTATTCTGGAGAAACTTAAAACTACAGCAATTGCATAAAGACCTTCAGATATAATTTGAGGATCAGAGGGGTCCCACTTTATCCTGGCTAGGAAAAAAGAAGACACGAGTTATGGTGAGTTTCTTTAAGCTGTTTACTTAAGTAACTTTTTCTGGTTAAGAATGTAATTACATTAGCAATCTAGTTCCGGATGGAATTCTCTGTTCTTAAAGGGCTTCTTTAAGCGTCAGGTCTAATTGAGCTAGTGAATTTATTGAGAAAATGACCCTCCTAGTTGGTTTGCTGGCAATTTTCCATAAGAGAATAGCATAATGGTTAAGAGCTCAAACTACAAACTCAGTATATATAAAAATTCCAGTAGGTAGCCTAGAAAAGCTGGGACAAATTATTTAACTTCTCTTAGTTTTTATTTTCCCGTCCTTGCAAATGAGATAATACCACTTCTATCGCTCTCAATCTGTTGTGAGAATTCAATACAAAAACATACACATTCCATGTTTAGAAAGTAGTTGACATTAAATAAATGGTAGCATTTATTATTTAATCTGAAACTATAATAACACTATTATCTGTTTTGGGGCTTGTGGAATACTTGTAGTTATTTAAATTTACTAAAGTAATTTTATGGGTCACTCAAGTCTATTTTCATCATAAAAATGAGCAATTATGCATTTATTAATTTTGATGACCTGATATAATTATATATATTACTATGTTAGGTCATCAAAAACCCAATTAAGAAAGCATCATAAGAAAAATGCAAAAACAATGTGTAATAAAAAGGAAAAATATTATTATAAATGTGTCTTTGTTTACTTGCTGAGAAGTGGATTAGTTTTCTTTTTGAGAACATATACACAGTGCTTTGAATATAAGTACTACAATAAACAGATAGATCGCTTTAACTTTATAAAATTCTGTATATTAAAAACTGTAGTTAAATGGTAAAAGAAATACTGCAAGTTAATAATAAAAAAATAAATCCTTATGTGATATAGCCAATAACTGGTAGAGATATCAATGAACATGTTAACTGATTTCTTATCAGAGGGTTTAAAATAAGTATACAGAGGAAGTCTCTTTTTCCCACTCCATGTTTCTAGAAGAAGGGATTTTCCCTAGGCAAATAACTGAACCTATTTCCATCCTGAGTCACTTTCCCTGGGGAGGTGGAATGACTTATCAGACTCTTGACTTGGGATGGATAACTGAGCATACCTGGCTCAGCTCTGTCCTCTTTTTCTTGTGAATTCTCCTCTGGCCCTCCATGGAGGAAGCTCACATGGTCAGGCACATGCTGCCATACCCCTCTTAGGGGAGGACTGTCCTGACCATTATTGTTTGGAAATTTGAAGATATGTCTGCCCAATTCTGGGGGTTCAATATTGCTGAGCCAGTGGATTAAGGACTCAAAACTATGTCATCTACCCTGAACTTTATCAGTAGTAGAGGTGATGATCTGACCTCCATATTAACTTTTTGTTTTATTTCTCAACTAGTTCAAAGCCTGGGTGGGAAACAGTAGTGTCATTTATTGAGGGCCCTTTCAGAGATTCCCACAATTCCCTTGCTTTCAAATAATCTATATGTCTTAAATGGAAATGGTACTCAAATGTATACTGGGGGTTTTTTGTTTGTTTTTTTATGCGCTCTCATTGTTTATTATAGCATTGTTCACGACAGCCAAGATATGGAGACTACCAAAGTGCCACCAATGGATGAATGGATAAAAGAAGATGTGATATACACACAAGGAAATATTATTCAATCATGAGAAGAAGGAAATCCTGTCATATGTGAAACATGGATGGACCTTGAGGACATTATGCTAAGTGAGACAGAGAAGGACAAAAACACTGTATGATGTCCCTTATATGTGGAATCTGAAAACAAAACAAAACAAAAACGAACAAACTGGACATGAAAAAACAAGGAATAGTGTGTTTAATAGAGACAAGGAGAAAATAAACCTAAGACACAAGGCAAGCATTCTCAATGGAGTCTGATAGTTAGCCAACTGATCCAAGAGATCAGTGAGATCATTCCTATGACTAAGAGATGTTTCCAACCAGAAGAAATATAGAAGGAAGAGGCAAAACACATGCTTCTTCAGATATAGATACTCTGGGGAAGCTGGAAACTAACCAAAAATTCAATGAGAATGGGTAATAACCAAACTACTAATGCCATGTATTTTTAGAAGAAAATTCTACATTTTTATTAACGTATATTGACTGCTTACTGTAAACTCACCCAAATTGTAGTATTTCACATTGTCTCCCAATGTGACTTTTGTTAAGTCTTTCAAAGTATCATTTGCATCAATGATGCTCTGAGCTTTGGAAGCGTGCCAAAATGCCATGAATCTTGCAATGAATGATGCTGCAAAGATCGCTAACATACCAAAGTCAAGCATATTCCACAACTCAAACAAATATTCCTTGGGGCCTTGAGTCCAAATTTCTTTACATTCAGCCCATATCATGCCTGCATTGGAAAGGGGTTAAATTATCAATTCAATTTCATTCCAGCCTATGCTCTTCAATAAAACAAAATAAATTTGAAAGACCTCAACCTGATATTCAAAACCCTTCAGCATTTGGCCTTAAACCAACCATTCATCCATAATTCCCATGTCTCCCCAAATCGCACAGTCCAGCAATATCAGAGCCTTATCTGAAAGCAATTTGACAAAGTTCATCAAGATGCTTTTAAAAAAAACCATTATTTGATCCATTTAACACTATACATAAAATATATTAAAAAGATGTTTACTGTAGTATTCTTTATAACCAAGACACACACACACACAGCCATTTGATATGATACTAATATTTTCATTGCCATGGGGTAGTGACCATGAGAATGTACCTCATAAACCTCACAGACCAAGAATTTAATTGGCCCTGGGCCTCAGCGACTGCATTCTGAAATCTACTGCCATTTTTGTCCCACAACGATGCTTTCCAGGGGCTGCTCCCAACCGGAGAGTGAGAGCACCCATTCTTGGGAGACACGGGACTACTCCAAGATTTATTATAATAAATCTTGCTTTATTATACTCCGAGGGCTGATTTTGGCTCAAGGATTTCCTGACAGCCTTATTGAACTTCCCTTCAACTGCATGGAGATCTAGGATGCTTCTTCCCAACTTCCCTTCCCTCTCTCCCTCCCTCAGAACCAGGCTCACGTCCCAGTCTGACAGCCCTTGCCCCTTTCCTCAGCTTCCTCCCCATTTTCTCCCACATGAAATCTCCCTTCATAGAATTTCAATCTCCCTTAAAAAAAAACTGTCATATATTTAATCCTGTCTTTGCACCTCCTTCTTGGAAGACCTGGAATAAGACGGTGGAAAATGTTTGTCATAAGCATTTAAACATGTTAAGTAAAAAAGTAAAATATGCTATCTATTCCATGACTTTATGTTTAAAGCAAGCACAATAAAAGACTAGAAGGAACTCAGGACCTTATTCATAGCAGTGGTCTCTTGCTGGTGGGATTATTAATAATGTTGCACACTCTCTCTAAAATTGAGTGTTGTACATAGGAACATAGGTTTGGGGATCAAATCTCCATAGATTTGACCTTGTTCCTCCACTTATTAGCCCTGTAATCTTTGGCAAGTTACTTCAACTTTATAAAACTCAGTCTGTAAAATGGGTATGAGAGTAGCTTGCACCTAATTCATAGAATTGTTATGAGATAAACAACTCATGTAACTTCATGTTATTGTGTCTGGCACTTGGGGAAAATAACAAGTAAAATGTATTGAGCACTTACTATTTTTAAATTTCTATGATTGGTATATATTTTCTTCCTTAATTTGAAGAATCTTGCTTTATTATAAAGGAGGGACTTTACTCCTCTTACCTTTAAGATACCCTACTCTCTGAAGTCCTGTTTCCTCCTAGAGCCCTGTGGAGGAATATAATCTTTGGATTCCAATAACTAGTCAAACCTGCCTCCATCAAGAAGGCTTTCATAGTCCCCTAGTTGAAATTAATCTCCTCTTCCTCCCAGCAACCACCTGCCCCATATTCTCCTGTTTGTCGTGAACCTCTAACCAAGAACCTGCCATGTGTGTGGTCTCTGCGTGCTAACAATTTACTATGCGCTTTTCTCTAAACTAGAATTCAGTGCATCACTAAGTATGTGCTTTGATGAGAAGATAACTTCATTACTTTATTTTGCATTTTTCCACATTAAGAGGTGACTAGAATTAAATTCATACATATTTTAGTGGATCAAATTTAAAACAGAATATACTGCATGTATACACTTAACCACACACACACCTCTTACCTCAACCCCAAAACTATGCACAGGGATGAGAAAAATCTGAAGGCAGCTTTCCTTTTGTGGTCCTTGGGTTCCTGCCAGCCTCCTTAACAGGAGACGAGGGAGAACTGAAGCATAGGGATCAATGGGACATTTAAACTCATGTGGTCTAGTTGTTTTCAAAGCTTCCTCTCCTTCCTCCCATTTTCCCTTTTCTCTCTCTCTCTCTCTCTCTCTCTCTCTCTCTCTCTCTCTCTCTCAGAATTATTGGTAAAAATATATACTAAAGCTTAAAAAAACACAGTGAACTATTCCACCCGAAGAAAAATTCCCTGTCATATGTGCCCTGCGAGACCCCGGGAGCTGCCAAGCATAATTTGAAACCCACTTCTCCGTGGGGACCAAGCCTTGCTTGAACTTGTCTGGAGATGAGGTGCTTACTATTCTGAAGGCTGCTCATCCCACTGTTGAATGTGCAGGAAGTATCTCCTCTGTGTGGACCGGCTGGTGCTCATTCTACCTCTAGGGCAGTAGAGAAAAGGCCTGCTCCCTCGCTTTACATTTCTTAAAATAAAATAAAACAAAACACTGTGTGCTCATTAAGTCTTCTCCACAGAGGCAGGTTTATTCATTGACCTGCTCCCAGACTTCAGTGCAAGGACTGCGTCTCATTCACCTCAGTATCCTCACTACCTAACAAAGGCGCTTAATATGTTCATTCATAAATATCCAATTGAAATATCATTCCCATTTACATTATATTAATGACAAGTCATATGTATGATTGATTGACACATACTGTGGCTGTTAACACTGCATTCCCTCTGTTTCACTTACCACCTGGGAGCTCTAAAGGTAACATAATGCTGTAAGGTAGAGGTATTATTATGCTACAGATTAGAAAGCGGAGGCAGAAAGACTGTGTGAGTTGATGTACATAAAGAGCTTTGAAACCTGGCTGGGTGGCTCAGTTGGTTAGAGCATCATCCTGATACACCAAGGTTGAGGGTTTGATTCCCAGTCAGGGCACAAACAAGAATCAACCAATGAATGCATCAATAAGTGGAACAACAAATTGATCTCTCGCAAAAAAAAATCAATAAATAAAATAAAATATCCAAACAGTCTCTGGTATGTAATGTTCCAAAAATGCAAAAATAAGTGCTTATTAGCTTGAGTTCCTATTAAATCTCAATGTAAAATCATATGGTTGTTTTTAAGCTTTATGTCACAGCTCTCCCAAAATATGAATAGTGGTTTTTCATCACTGATGGGGCTTGATTAATACTATCCTATTTATTTTCTTCCTGGGGGTCTTGGGGGGCCTGTGAGAAGACTATGACACTCATAATGAACCCAAACTAACTCTGCTTTAAAAACACGAAGAAAATCATGGTGTGGGGTGCATTGTGTCATGTTGCATATATTTGTAGGACTGATGTGTGAAGGAATCAGTGTCATTCAGTCCAACTGCTAAGGCTGCAAAAATAAATGATGACGGAAACTCAGCCTTTACCTATTACCCAGGATATGATGAGCAACTCCATCCATGAGAAGCAGGATGTTTTCATTCGGAACAGCTGTTTTGCATTATCTGTGCTGGTTTCATTAGGAAGGAGCTTGGTGCCTTCAAATCTGTCAGCTGCATTCATGACTAGCAGACCCAGAAAAATGGTGAAGGAGGCTGCGTGTGCTACGAACTTCATGAATGGTCCACGCATGATCTTCCCCATCTGCCATAACACACACCAAAAGAAAATCTTAGCTTTGTTGTGTACATTTTGCAAAACACACATGCATATACATAAGAATAACCACCTGTGTACTCCAATGTTCCCTTTAGGCGATGGTGTATATATATAAAACTAATGATGGAACAACTCTTTATGCTGCTATAAAATTTTGGTCACATTCCTCATCTACATACTGGTATGTTGATGGTCTGGGTGGATAATTAAATAAGTGAACTTTTCTATTAAATAATATGTAAATTCTTAAAACATTATATAGCACTGATAAAATAATATTTTTAAATATAATAATGACAAAAGGCAGAGCATAGTATCATTATTATTCATAAAAAGCAAATTAATTTAGTGGGCATGAAGTGTTGAGGAAGCAGCATTAAAAATATCACCGGAGTCTACTTTGCAATGTTGTCCTCACGTATATTTCACCAACTTGAGTACAATCGGGCCTCACGTGATGTTGCTATTTTGGTGATGTAAATGGAGTAGAAGTCATGAGTACGAGCAAAAGAACTTCTGTGGAGAGGACAGCAGGGCAGTTCTCATAATGTGCTGGGACACTGTCCTGGAATGACGCTGGGGTAAAAGCCCCATATTTTAGGTTCAAGTTCCAGTTTCATTTCTTCATTAGCTAAGTGGCAATAAGTGAATTTCCTAAATTATGTGAAAATCAAATTCTTCCTATGAGCTATGGAGACAATAAAAGCTCTCGTGCCTCTACAGTACAGGATACATTTCTATCTAAGATGCACAAACTCTAGCTGGGGCAGAGGGTGTACTTGGCCGGGATGTGTCTCAGGGGGCTCTATGCATCCCCTGACATGGGCAGCAAAACTCAGTATGTGTGTGCAGTTGTTTTCTTAGGAGAGAGCCCATAGCTTTCAACAGCCTTTCAAATGAGTTTATTATTACAGAAAAATTCCCAAGTTAATACCAACAACACAGCCAGTATTTATTATGTGCCAAGTACTGTTTTAAGTGCTTTACTCTGTTAACTCATATAATCATTACCATTCAAAGAGGTAGGTGATACCAAAATACCTATTTTACTGATTAAAAAACAACTGAAGAAGTGAGATCCAGAAATGTACTTAAAGGTCTCACAACTCCTAAATGGTAGAGCTGGAATTTGAACTCAGGCATTCTTGTTTCAAAGTTAATTTGGTTTGCAAAGTAATTTCTTATTTTATCATTAAAATATATATATATATATATATATATATATATATGTACATGTAAATTCTTAGCGAAAACAAAAAAGGTTCTTTTTAAGTCAATAATATGTATGGTGCCAAGTGGTACTAGACTTATTAGAGGAATCGCTTTGTAAGTTATATAAATGTCTAACCACTATGCTATACACCTGAAACTAATATAATATGTAGTTGGGGGGAAAAAAGTTGAAAAATTTTAAAAAGACTTTAAATAGCTAAATGCTGTATGGAAGAAATGAAATCAATGTACTCTGCTTCTGTAAGTTTTTTTTTTAATATATAGTTTTCAAAATCTTAAAAGTTAAGGCTAGAATAAATCATATAGTTCAGTTCCTTGTCTCTTGAATTTATGCCAGACCAGACATCAGGATATTTGCATGAGAGTGTGTGCATATGTGTGTGTGTGTGTCTGTGTCTATATCTTTCTATAGTTTTAAACCAATGGATCCATCTAGCTAGATATATTGTAGAGCCAATCCAAAGTCACTTTGTGAAAATCTGCTATGAAAATCATCTCTGAAAACCATACTTCCATAAAAATGCTCATTATTTGACTCAGAGTTTTTTTTTATTTTTTTTTAAATAGAACTCTCAAATAATCAAATGAGGGCAGGTTAAAACACATGGGAAACAAAGTGGATTTCATTTTCTGTTGTGTTGTCCTTAGCTATGTTTTTAAAAATTATAGACTGTTAAAAAATGAACATAAATGTGTTTTTAATTTCTTTTTTCATGGTGTACCATGTGCTTCATTTTAATTCTACAATGTTTTACATGTGATTTATTTCAGTCACGTATTATAGCAAATAAAAATGTAGCACAAGATTTAATAAGTTCCTCTTGGAAAAAAACTATGATAAATCTTAAACCAATTTTTAAAAATAAATTTATTTCTCTGCTGTGGAAAACTGGGATGGGGCACTGACTGTTCGTAGTGAAATCCATGGCATATGTATTTATATTCTGCCTTGTTCCAGAAAGAATCAGAGGTAGCCTTCAATATATAAAGTTATTCCAAACACAAGAGAGCACAAATTAAAATAGGAGAAGGAGAAAGCAAAGTAGAAGGAGAAGGAGAAGGGAAAAGGCTGGAGTGTAGAACAGAATTGAGAATAAAGCTGTGTTAGAGTGGGCCGCCATCTGAACGAACTGTGGAGCCTGAGTTTTGCTGTCCTGGACACACCCAGTCAATGTTCACTTATTCGGGGCAGGGTGTCTGGTCTGTGCCTCACCCCCGACCTGGCTGGCCTACCTTCTTCATTGAGTTACTGGCCTTTATGTAACATTACACCTTTATTTTATTCAGAAGGGAGAGAGGAGACTCAAACCAGGTGTTTTTGCTGCTTATTAAACGTTCTAGTTCAAAGAAACAAAGAAAACAAATAAGAAAACTAAAAATTGGTTGGCAGGAAACTAAAATGGTGCGTTTGGATATTCATATCCTCCATTTCCTATTACAAATTGTAGCCAGCAGTTAGATAAGCAAGAGCAGGGCAGGAAGGATGGGCCAGGTGCAAAGGGTCACCAGGCCGAGCGCTCCAGGGGCCTAGCCACAGGGCAAAACTACAAGCCCTGCAGGACCACTGCCTTAAGCACTGACTCCTGGAGATGACATCTAGGCCTCAGCTGTAGTTCAGCTACAGGGCAGAGAAGCAGCAAAAGCAGAGATAGTGACACCTGGCAGACACCAGGTCCAGTGGCACTGACTAATGAATCAGTGGAGACCATGCCCTCAGGAGACGCACCAGGAAAGCTGACCAGTGCTCCATTGAGCTCTTCCCCTGGGACCTCAGATGAAAGCCCTCAGGACAGAGGACCCAGGCAGGCTCTCTCTATGCAGCATGCCTCTGCCTTTCCCCACCCTCTTCTTTCCCCAGGGTCTCTCTCTCTCTCTCTCTCTCTCTCTCTCTCTCTCTCTCTCTCTCTCTCTCTCTCTCTCTCATCTTGTTCTAACTTTCTAAATAAACCTTTTTGTTATAATTTGTCTTGAAGGTTGCTAGTTAACATCTGGTGCTGTTTTCCCACCGCCAACAAAATTACTGAGAGTTGTGTTTTTCTTTAAACTAAGGCAGATTTTGGGACCATTTCATGGACTTTAGGAGTTTAAGTGATTTTTCCATTTTAGTAAAATTTGTCATTTGTATCTCCTGAGATGTAAACAAATTTCGGGGGGGGGGGGGTACCTGTAAAGTGAGGGACTCATCAATGCATGAGGTAAACAACTGATGTACCTGGAAAATTATTGAGTGGAAGCACTGAAACAAAACCTGCTTTTAAATATTATAGATCATACTCTTTTCAAGTATTTATTGATAACCAAATACCTAACTACCGAATACCAATAGGAATAGAAAAGGTTGACACCAACTTAAACTAAAATAATTTTAAACCACAGCATTACCTATTTTTATGGTAATGAGCATAAAGCCATTGATATTTAGACTATAGTGGAAAAACAGAATAACTAAGGAGCAAAAAAAAAAAAGTTTCTGGAAGGAGAAGAGAGCCAATCTAAAAAAAGAAAAACAACTTCAAACAGAAATGGGACTCTGTCAAGGTGCACAGGCCTACAGTACGCTCTGGCTGAACTTGCCTGGATGTATTGGAAAATAGTACTTTAAATAAAAGCATCATGTAGCTTAAGCAATCTTCCCTCATAAAAAATCAATTCTGCAGCCTGCAAATAATGTTTATGCTCATTGCTAAATGGAAAAATTGTAAAATGGATTTTACCATCATGCTTCAAAGGCTAAAGAACAGTCAGTAAAAGAGGTTTTAATATGAGATGAAAATACCTTGACAGTGTCCTTTTAATTTGATTATTTGCCTCAGTGTTCATAAACGAGGATGGAAAACAGATGCCAGACAGAAACATGGCCAGGGAAGAAGAAATAGTGAAGGAAATAAGGTTAATTAGGATTCAATCAAAAGGTAGGTGATGTGTCACTCTAAGGACTGCCAAAGATATTCTCTGTCAAAACACCAAACTCTCTGGAACACATTACGCTTTTGAACTCACTGGATAGGGGGAAGGACAATTATTCAGCTTAGAAAAGTTATTATAATTCAACTGATCTCAGAATATATAATTCAGAAACTCCTCCCCTTTAAATTCATCTTCAATCTCTGAAGACTCGGGAAATGTGACTAGAAGCAGAACAGAGACTGTATACATTGATATGACCTTTGTTCTGCTAAGGACGATTTAGATGTTTTTTCGAAGTGTAATCTGTATTCCTATGAAAGAGGGAAGACAAAATATTATAACTTTCCAGAAGAAAATCTGCTATAAATTCCTAATGCTAGTAAATCTCATTCTTTTCAACCTTTATATTTCAGAGATAAATTTGAGGCCTTATGTATTGTAAGGGCGATAGATTTTACACTCATAAAATCTATCAGCAGTTCCTATCGTCATCACCAGAAGTAATTATGAAGTTCACATCGTATTTAAAAAGGAAAAGGCTTCGCATCAGGTTTCTACCAAAAGCTGCTGAGAAAAGTCCCTTCTAGGCGAAAGCACCATACATGTGACTAAGTAATAAAACAATATGTTGGTAGTGGTGGTATTGGTGTGCACCCCCGCATTTACAAATGTTTGAAAGTGAGTCATGCCACTGTTTCAGACCAGCATGTGATTCAGCTGACATTTCTGCAGAGCACATAAATAGATGGCCCCGCAGACATGTTGCCATGTAGCTGTAGAATTATTTCAGTCTGTCGGAGTTGTAACTTAAACAGTTCCAGAAATGCGGCCTCCAAAGTATGAAAAATATGATAGCTGGCAACACAAGACAGACAAATGTCTGTGCCTGTTAACAGAATTCAAACATCTGAATATTTTTCAAGCTTGTTCTGTCACCAATAAAAGGCCAGGTCCATCTGAACATATTTTCAGCAAAGCCTGGGCAGATAGATTTGGCTTAAAAAAAAAAAAAAAAAAAAAAAAAAAAAGGCTGTCCCTAAAACAAATATTCTTCACTGCATCTACATTATATTAGTGTGTTTTTTAAATATGATAGTCCTTTACTTAAATGAAGATTTATCGGGTCATATTAGCTAAAATAAATAGGAAAAAAAATTCATGTCAAATTTGCCAGAGGAAAAATAAAGAGAGGAAACATGTTTATCTTTTATAATGTTATATGAAATACCTGCTCAATGCATGCTATGTAGCCGCATTTAAAACTATAAAAAGATATGCATAGACAGGACGATATACTGCCATAGTAACTGAGGCTTTCTTTGGCACATTGACAGTGAAGCTATTACAGGTGAATGTTCCCTTCTTTGAATTTCTTTTTCTATTTCCTAGCTAATATATGTTACTTTTGCAACATTAAAAAACAGTAAGATTACTTAAGCCCAACTATGACCTTCCTAAAATGCTCATTTGGGAAGGGAATTTTCCATGCATAACCGCCTCTGAGATGTTCAACTAGACATGCTCCTAGGAAACGACGAGGTCCGGGTTTCACAGACATACCTTGCTGCACGGAGCAAACCAATAAATGAGAGCCAGGAAGGGCAGTCCCACGGCAACCGCAAGGACCACGAGGAACTTGACCGCCATCGTCTGCTGCCTCAAGCCGGACAGGTTCTCATACCATATGGAGAGGAGCTGCTGCTGACAATTTGGATGGGCTACAAACTAGCAGGAAAATGATAAAACATTTAACAGCTTGATTAAAGTTCAGCATAAACTATTTTCTTTTGTTCTAATATCTTGTTCTGTTCTTTCCCATGAAAAATATTGTTAGAATTAAGGAACAAACATAAAGCATCTAGTTGACAGCAAGCAAGATGGCAGGATGTTCTAATATGTATTAGACAAATTAGGAAATTCCAATTTATCAAACATTCCCTTCATAACAAATGGGATTTCTTTCAAAGCATAAAAATTTTTTGAAATTTAATATTGTGAAAAGATCCATCAATGTTTTACACAAGGATGTTTATAATTATACTAGAGGACCGGTACACGGATTTGTGCACAGGTGGGGTCCCTTGGCCTGCCCTGTGGACATCAGGCTGAAACCAGCTCTCTGACATCCCCCAAAAGGTCCCAAATTATGAGAGGGTGGTTCTCCAGTGACACACACTGGAATCAGGCTCCCCCCTCTCTGATTCCAGGTGTGTCACCCAAGAACCGCAGCTGCCAAGTCACCACAGCTCAGCAGCTCCTGCATTGCACATTTGCCCCCTCATGGTCAGTGCATTTCATAGCTATCAGTCATCCAGATAGTCGCTTAGGCTTATATATATATACTAGAGGCCCAGTGCACAAAAATTTGTGCACTTGGGGGGTAAGGAGGGTCCCTCAGCCCAGCCTGTGCCCTCTCACAGTCTGGGACTCCTCAGGGGATGACCACCTGCTGGCTTAGGCCCACTCCCTGGGGGATTGGGCCTAAAATGGCAATCAGACATCCCTCTGGCAGCCCGGCAGCCCTCAGGGGATGTCCACTTGCCAGCGGGGAGCAGGCCTAAACTGTAGTCGGACATCCTTAAGCGCTGCTGAGGAGGCAGGAGAGGCTCCCACCACCACCGCTGTACTGGCAGCCATCAGCCTGGCTTGTGGCTGAGCAGAGCTCCTCCCATGTGAGAGCACCCTGACCACCAGAGGGCAGCTCCTGCATTGAGAGTCTGCCCCCTGATGGTCAGTGTGTGTCATAGTGACCAGTCATTCCCAGTCTTTCTGCTGTTAGGGTCAGTTTTCATATTACCCTTTTACTATATAGGATAGAGGCCTGGTGCCGGGTGGGGGCCGGCTGGTTTGCCCTGGAGGGTGTCCCAGATCAGGGTGGGGGTCCTGCTTGGGTGCCTGGCCAGCCTGGATGAGGGGATGATGGCTATTTGCAGCTGGTCACACCCCCTTCAGGGTGGGGGTCCCGCTTGGGTGCCTGGCCAGCCTGGATGAGGGGATGATGGCTGTTTGCAGCTGGTCACATCCCCTCAGGGTGGGTATCCCCACTGGGGTGCCTGGCCAGTCTGGGTGAGGGGCTGAGGGCCGTTTTCAGGCTGGCGGGTGACTGAAGCTCCCAACCTCTCCTTTTTTTCTTTTTTTTAATTCTGGGATTTATTTACCTTCTATGGCTGTCACTGGAGCTGAGAGCCAGCTTTAGCTCTGAGGCTCGGCTCCAGCTCTGAGACCTCGGCTGCTGAAAGCAGTTATCTGGGTTTGTTTGGGTTCTATAATTTTAACACTGTTGCGGTCCTGCTTGCTTCAGCTCTGATGGCTGAAAGCAGGTTTCTGGAGCTTGTTTAGCTTCTATAATTGCAACATTGTTTCTTAGAGTGCAAGCTCACAGGCCAGCAGCGGCAGGCAGGGAACCTTGGCTTCCTCCATCACTGGAGCAAGCAAGCCTCCTGTTCGCTTCAGCTGCCTGGCTGCCGGCTGCCATCTTGTTTGGTAGTTAATTTGCATATCTCGCTGATTAGCCAATGGGAAGGGTAGTGAAGTTACGGTTAATTACTATGTTTCTCTATTATTAGATAGGATAGATGGTTTGTTCAACTAGAAGGAACAATGGAAAGACCCTGCTAGTCCAGATGTTTAAATACTTTTTTTAAAAAAAGTACACCTTCTTTCATATATTGGCCTAAAACACTAAACTTATTTTATACTAAATTCTCATTTACATAAACAGGTCAGTTTATGAACTGCCTATTCTATTTCTGTGTCATAAACTCTTTCAATTAAAAAAGCTTATTTTTTAGATTTTTTAATTCTCACATTAAATTTAGTAAATTAAATTTATTGGGGTGGCATTAGTTAATAACATTGTATAAGTTTCAGATGTAAATTCTCTAATACATCATGTGTATACTGCATTTGACCTCCTTTATCCTCTTCATCCACTCCCCACCCCTTCCTTCTGGTAGTCACCATACTGTTATCTGTGTCTATGAATTTACTTCACATATTTATTTTTAAAAATGATCTCTACAAGGACAGAGGGCAACATTATTAATATACAAAAAGCAACAACCTTAAATAAAAAAATTGGTAAAGAATATTAAAATTTTAGATAAAGGACAGGTTATTTAGAGGAACTGTGATTGATTCCTAAGGATGGTTAGCCTCAAAGTTAAAACAAGATATGATGTTTATCTTCTCAGAATGGTAACGTTTAATAATAACCAATATGAGAGGAAGAAATAAGCCCTGTCATATGCTGTTGGCCCGTGTCAACAGTGCATATTTTCTGAAGGGAAACTTAACAAATGTTTTGCAATTAAAAAATAAAAACATGAAATGGACACATATGTAATACCCTTTGTAAAAAAAAAGAAAAAAAGAAAAAAAAATGGAGCAGAAAAATAAAAAAATAAAAAAATAAAAAATAAATAAAAAAATAAATAAATAAATAAAAACTTGCCATAATTACACACCTGGGAATTTTGTTCATGAATAAGACTCATACATGTAAGCAAGCTACATAAACAAGTATGTTTTCTGTGGCATCCTGTAAGAACAATAACCAGCCTAAAGAAAATAATAAACACACTTAAATAATAAACTGATTACATGAACAGAATGATATAACAATGCAACCTTTGAAATGGTAAAGTGGATGTTTATTTACTGATATGTGGAGATGTCTAAGATATAGATTTGTGGAGAGAAATTAAATGTTGATTCACTACTTTCTATATGAATTGGGAAGCTAGAAAGGGGATACATCTATGCTATTTGAAAACTTGCCATAAGCATGTATTACACTTATTATGCAACTTAGCTTTAAAAACTTTTTTAAAGAGATATGACACATAACCTAAGAAAGCAGTCAAGAATTTTGGGGGGAGGGGTAAACCACATAAAAACGGGGAGTGAACATATTCCACATATAAAGATACAGTTGGAGGAGATTCAAATGTACTCAAGAAGGAAGGGGAATATAACAACAAACGGGAACTGGAGTTGGGTTAAATAATGATGCCTTGTGATCTGGGCACACAAAAGTCATGGTTACGTCATTAGTGAAGTACAGGAAAGTGGAATCACCCATAAGAAAGCCTAGATTTTTAAAGACTGTCGTTCAGGGTAGGTTAGGTATCTCATAAACAGGCTCTCAGGATTCATTAGAGAATCTGCCAAAACCCAGCTCAATTGAACGATGCCAACCAACCCTTCGTCCTTGTTTAGCACCAATACAAACAGAAATAATGTAAATAGGCTTCATGCCTGACCTTACTTTTTTTACTTCGTATTTAATGGCAAGTTTTAAACGGCTGAGATTTGGACGACTGTGGTCTCTGCCACTGTGGTGTATTTCAACATCCCCGTTCAGAATGGCCTCTACTTCTTCGGTGTTTCTGCACAGATCAAGGAGTCCAACAACAAAATCTTTGCACTGCATCGACAGTTTTTTGTAGTCATTCTAGGAAAGACAAAACAAACAACAGCAGAAAACAATAATGTAGAAGTAGCACCTTTTGCTATGATATTCAGTGGAATCTATCCGTCACTTGGTTTGTGGAGAAAACAAAGAGAAAACTGTTTTCAGTTTACTGTCCTTTTAACACTGCTTCGTTGCTGTTCTGCTGAGTGATCTCTGAAATATCTTAGCACCATAAAGATTTTCTTCAGATCCTAAAAAAGGAAATGTGTCTAAAGCATAATCAAAGTTACCAAAAACACCGGCTGATTCAGGAGAAATAAAAAATAAGCAACTTTTCCCACTACTTTGCATACACCGTATCTCTTATGTTCATAACTTCATCAGCGAGGCACATAACAGACACTTGATAGGTCTTTGGAAGACTTTGTAAACTGTGCTGTCTCACTTGAGGAACAGGACTTTGGAGCGATTCCGGAGAAAAGCAAACACATGTCACTTACATATTTAATAAATAGTTATTGAGGAACTTTATGTGCCAAACACAGGGTCAGAAGGCAAGTCTAACATAAAGTCTACAAATTGGGGAAAAGAAAGTTTAATGAGAATGCTTTCATTGTCATTTATCACTGATGCCCTAGTATTACGCTGGCAAGATTTAGAGAATGCAGATCTTATTTAAACACCAAAATGCCTGTCAAACATATACAGCATGAATTCACATGTTCATTCGGGTCTTTTCTAATATTTCCTTCCTCTCTCTTCTATTACATTGAAATAAGACCATGTATAGCCCAACGTTAATCAAGAAACCTACTAGCTAGAGCTTGTTGCACTGTGAGAGGATTATATTATCGCATTGAATCTTCACAGTCTCATCCTCTCTTATGTTAAATAATGTGTCCAACTACCCTGCAGCCACTAAGTGTCAAAATCAGGCTTTAAACCGAGTGCTGTTTGGCCCCCAATTCTTTGCCTTTAGGAATTATGTTACTTTATCTCTTCTTTGTATATTGCTTTCTATTTTCATCTTGAAGAACTGGGAGACAGGCAGGGCAAACACTACTCCCATTTTGCACATGAAAAAACTAAGGTCCCTTGAGTTTACACAGCTTCTGTGGCAGTGTGTCCCTCTTAAAGCCAGCTCGCAGACTCAAAAGGTAGCTGTCTCTCCCATCCTGAAGCCACCAATATGCTTTGGAATGAAAGGATCCCTTGGAAAGATCAAGAGAGAAATATGTTGGAAACTATGATTGCCTCTGGGCATCAGTCAATAAGAGATATTCTGGGGAAGTCTATAGGAAAAGAGCCGATGCTGGGACTGTGGGAAACGCCTACTAGGGCTCCTCTCTGCAAACTATGCCAAGTGACCTTTCAGTTCAGTAACTTAGAAACAGGCTACACATCGCTACCTGCAGGTGCAGACAGTTTCTATAAAAGCAAATGGACAAAACAAATTATCTCTTAGCTAAGAATGGTTTAAACCAGTTCTAAAAAGGTATCTGGTCAGATAGTATAAACAGAGGTACAAGGAAACAGCTTTACCCTTTCCAAGGAATAGTCAGTTAGGGTCATGGGGCCAGACACTGACATGTGGACATGCAGATGTACATATTCATTCACTAGACTCTAATTAGAAAGTTGGACTTTCAGAGATAAATATCCCTTTAATCATATCCCAGGTCTTCTGTTTTTCAGCCAGATGATCTTAAAACCACTCTATGAGGCAGGTATTCTCATTGCTCTCATTTTACTGATGAGAAAACTGAGATTTAGTGAAATTAAGTAAGTGTTAAAGAGATCACACATGCAAAGCTCATCACATGGTGATGAGCATGTAGCAAAGCATCCCATAAAATAAAATTATTTTATTTTATATCATCAAAGGAAAGATCTGAAAACAGGTCATTTCCTGACATTTGTTAAGAGCCCATGGAGCTCTGACAAAATCTAATGCACCTAACCTTTCCTCTATGCAGAGCTCAGTGTGGGTGTAGCCAGTCATTCAAAGGCAAAGGTGTAGTCGTCAAAGTCAGGCTTCTGTAAAATCCTAAGAAGGCTCATGGTGAAATTAGACATTTAAAAACATTCTATCCACTGGATAGAGTGGATAGGCCAACACTCTATCCGCTGGTTTGACTCAGTGGATAGAATGTTGGCCTGCGGACTGAAGGATCCTGGGTTCAATTCTGGTCAGAGGCATGTACCTCAGTTGCAGGCTCGATCCCCAGTAGGGGGTGTGCAGGAGGAAGCTGATGGATGTTTCTCTCTCATCAAAGTTTCTAACTCTCTATCCCTCTCCCATCCTTTCTGTAAAATCAATAGAATAAAATAAATAAAAATAAAAAGAGAGTATGACCCTTCGCCTGTGGGTGACACTTCTGAGAGAATCCACATGGACAAAAAGTAAAGCGCAGGAGCTTTGCGCTGTTTCACACCTTGTTTCCAACTTGCTGCTGATTCTCAACACATAGTCTCAAGGGGGGAGAACAAAACTCCATTTTAAAAAAATAAAAAATAAGACTCTGCTTTTAGAAATCTATGCTCTTTCTTTCACCTTGGGGATCCATTTACAAATGTTTTCATATTTTAAGGTCTCACAAATTGACGTGAAAACTCACTCAGAAGGAAATGCTGGCAGCAGTTCATTAGCAGATGCAGTGGGGAATTTGGTTCCTTGAGAAGAAAAGGGAAGCTGGCTGTTTGATTTAATTCTGGGTCAGGTCTTTGGGTCACATACCCGCACCGCACACTATGAATCAGAAGTGGGTGCTCGCCTGTTAACCTTTGAGTTGAAAAAAGATGACTGATAAAGGGCTAACAGGGCAGAGTTTAAGAGATTATAAGACATAAAAATGTCCCTGGTAAAATTATCTTTTCAAAGGGTCATCTTAGTTGCATATTACACAGTAGAAGAGATGTTAGGGTCTATAATTTTAATGTCTGGCTCTTCTTTTTGTATAAAGATTGAAGTTTGCTTGATAGACATTAACAGGGAAAGGGCATGCCTTAATTCTCACTGGTGAACTGTCTGGGCTTTGAAGAAGGGCAGACCTGGGTTTGAAACTAACAGCAACCACTTTGAAACTAGCTGCATGGCTTTGGGCAAATGACTTAATCCCTTAAAGCCTCAAAATTCTCAAGTGTAAAATGAGGATAATACGAGTACCCACTTTCAGGATTGCTAGGAAGATTATACCAAATATGAATGCCAACTTCCTGGTAATTATTAGGATTACTAGAGGCCTGGTGCACAAATTCGTGCACCAGTGGAGTCCCTCAGCCTGGCCTGCAGGATCAGGCTGAAACCAGCTCTCCCACATCCACCGAAGGGTCCTGGACTGCGAGAGAGCACAGGCCAGGCCAAGGGACCCCACCAGTGCACTATCAGGGCTGGGGCCAGCCGAGGAGGGACCGCAGGAAGGCTCCAAGGCATGTCTGGCCCATCTCACTCAGTCCTAATCGGCCAGACCCCAGCAGCAAACTAACCTACCAGTCAACTGTCTGCCCCCTGGTGGTCAGTGCACATCATAGCGAGCGGTTGAGCAGCCTTAGCATATCATTAGCATATTACATTTTGATTGGTTGAGCGGCCGACTGGTCAACTGGACACTTAGCATATTAGGCTTTTATTATATAGGATTATTGTTTTCATTATTTCATAAACAATATTCAAGTGTTCTCATTCCCTTGTCACAAAGTTGTGCTGACAAATATAAAAGCATGTTGGGATTCCCGGGCAGCATCTTCATGCATTCTTTAACAAATATTCTAGGCACCAGTTGTGGGACAGGTGCCACAGTCTTACTAAGACAGGTGTTTTGTAAAATGACACTATGTACTTGCACATTAAGGTAAGTACAGAACATTATTATCTATTAGCCAGCCATGCTCCTTGGGACCACATGCGATGTCGGATCTTTCCCGTTCTTCAGGATAACTGTCACTGAATGTCACATTGATCATTGAGCTCACTTACAGCAGGTGTGAAGATTAGCAAGCATTTATTACGGTACCCACTGGATGGGTTTGTGAGAAGTGAGAGATACAAAAGTTACACTACTCTAAAGAAAAGAGAAAGCCCTGGCCAGTTTGGCTCAGTGGTTGGAGCACAGGCCTGCGGACTGAAGGTCATGGATTTGATTCCGGGTCAAGGGTACGTGACTCACTTGCGGGTTCCATCCCTGGCTGCGGTAGGGGCCTGTGCAGGAGGCAATCGATCATGTGTGTCTCTCATCCATTTCTCTCTCTCTCTCTCTCTCTCTCTCTCTCTCTCTCTCTCTCTTTCTCTCTCCCCTCTCCACTCTCTCTAAAACAATCAATGGAAAAATATCCCTGGGGAGGATTAAAAAAAGAAAGAAAAGAAAAGGGAAAGAGATGAGATACCGTTTCAAATGTGAATTAAAGGTTTTTGTCAGATATGGCAGATGTTACTAATTTTCATGTTGATTGTTGCCATCATGAGGGGCTACATATTTAACTTAACACGGTGTTTGATAACCAGTCTTTATTGTTCCCTTTATGTAGAAATTCTCAGCTCCCCTGTAGCTGGAGAGCCACAGTGAAGTGAACACATGGTTTCGGGGCCTGTGCCCTCTTCCCAGGCAAACTGCTGTACTCACTTTCCTCCTCACTGCTGACTTGCCTTAGATCTAAAATTCTGCCTGAATGAGGTTCTCTCACCATCTACTTCAGATTAGGATAGAAAAGGCAAAGGCAAGAATGTACACACTTGTATGTTAGTGTATTTATGTATTTACTAGAGGTCTGGTGCACGAATTCGTGAAGCAGTGGGGTCCCTTGGCCTGGCCTGCGGGATTGGGCCGAAACCAGCTCTCCAACATCCCCCGAGGGGTCCCGGACTGTGAGAGGCTCCAGGCCAGGCCAAGGGACCACACCAGTGCATGATCAGGGCTGGGGAGAGACTCGGAAAGTTGGCCAACAGGGGAGAGACTGAGGGAGGGCTCCAGGGCATGTCGGACAATTCTCGCTCAGTCCCGATTGGCCAGACCTCTGCAGCAAGCTAAACTACCAGTCAGAGCATCTGCCCCCTGGTGGTCAGTGCATGTTATAGAGAGCAGTTGAGCAGCCTTAGCATATTATTAGCATATTACACTTTGATTGGTTGAACGGCCGACTGGTCGACCAGACACTTAGTATATTAGGTGTTTATTATATAGGATGTATCTGCCTCTCTCAAGTAGGTTCAAACATCCTTCAGAGCAATGACTATTATGGATCTTACTCACGTTTGAGTCCTCGCATCCTAGTGCAGCGTGTGGCACACAGGAGGTAATCCAAAATTTTGTTGAGTGATGTAAAGAAAAGAACATGGCTGGGTACAAAACATACCTGGGTTTTTATTCTTGCTCTACTGCTTAATAGCTATATAATCTTAGAAAGGTTACTTTATTTTCTGGCCCTCTGTGAATTTCCCCTAATTATTGAGAATGCAATGGCTGCTATATCATAAAGTTATAGTGTAACTCACTTAGAATAACTCATAAAGCTCAAAAAAGGTATTTTGCCTCCTTTCTCTTTGGCCTGGATCCCAGCCCTGTGCTCCTGATGCTGTGATTCCGCATTGTAGGCTACTGAGTACTTTAGCGACACCCTTTGTCACCCTGCTAAGGTCTGATAACAGTTATGCTGCCTTTCTGCTAACAAAAACTACTTTTCAGCCCAGTCAGTTTCTTAGAGGATATTTCTCTCAAACAATGCCTAACATTTTGAACATCTGCACACCAGAACATAGCAACGGTTTAAAAACAGACGAAGCAGGAGTTTCTCTACCTTCCCAGTTCTCAAAGTCAACAGCAGAGGCAGCTGGAGGGCCACGTGCATGAGTGGGCACAGATCCCTGGGGGGACATAAAGGATCTGCAAAAGCTCCAGAAAGCTACTTATCCAGAATGACAGGGAAGGTGGCAATCCCTGGAGCATAAAGAGGTGATAGTAGGGTCACACTGTCTGTTATCACAAATGACCTAAGCCCTGGTGGGCAAACTGCGGCTCACAAGCCACATGCGGCTCTTTGGCCCCTTGAGTGTGGCTCTTCCACACAATACCGACTTCTGCACATGGGCCACGAAGTTTCAATTGCACTGTATGTGCACGCCCGCACGTAGTATTTTGTGGAAGAGCCACACTCAAGGGGCCAAAGAGCCGCATGTGGCTCGCGAGCCGCAATTTGCCAACCACTGACCTAACATATCAATAAGTTCAAAAAGGGTTTGAAGACATACGTCATAGGTACATATTGAGATGCTAAAAGAAAATTAGAAATTTAGGAGAATGAACTTGCTGAAAAAACCATCCCTGGTATTGATTTCCTTGTCTGTGAGGTTATTCTACCTTATCTGAGCTTAGCCTTGAGTCAAGGAGAGAAGCCAGGAGTCATGTTCTCTTTGTTATCAAAAAGGTAAGTTGTGGGTATTTCTTTTTATTATTATTATTACTGATTTTGTATTTGCTGCAAAATTTAGACTTAGCCCAAGTTTAAGGTGGCTGAGATCTCATGTGCCCAAAGCAAAAATTTATTGTTAAAAATTTAATATGAAAGTTGAATTTGAATGGGTAAAAAACTTTTGAATTTCATTTCTCTCCATTCTCTTTAAAGACATGTAGTGCCTCAGGCCTATTAATTTTCTTCTATTCCTGTGGCTTCATCTAATTGTTAGATTTCTGTGGTTGCACCTCTGCATGGAGCCAGCTACAGACCTGGTGATATGGGTAATAAATGCAATTTGTTCAGTTTAAGAAATTCAAAGTGCAAGATTAAAGTTGCCCATGAAACTCAATAGCAACTCCTCTGGCCTCTTTTATTAATGGACTATAGCAAGCATGTCAAACTCCTGGCCCATGGGTCACATGCAGACCACAATGAATATTTTTGTGGCCCAGCCAATATAACAGTATGTAAGAAATGTTTTAATAAAAATTTCGTAACTTTTTACAATATCCTGTTATACATAATTATTAATAACAAACTAAAACGTTCACTAATGACTGATTATTATAATCATGTTGCATTCATTTCCCTTACACGCCTTACATGCAGGCACATCATTTCTCTCCACTAATACTAGCAGCGAATATTTTAGCAGCCGATTGGCACGTCATTAGTATTGGACTGACTTGTTTGGTGTGATCAACAGGAAATATTTTGCTTTCAGAAAACAAGAAAAATAGATTTATTTGCATTATGCTTATTAATTTGTGCAGTTATTCAGTGTCTGGTAAGTTAATGTTCAAGAAAAAAATATTAATTTTTATTAAAGTGTTCTATTATTTTATATTAATGATTACACATTTATTTCAGCCCTTTGTATTCAGCATGTCTCTATCGAAATAAACCTATGTTTCTATGAAAATTGAAGCTTTTGTTTTTTTGCGGCCCACATAAACTTAAACCTTGTTTATTTGGCCCGTGTTAGCCTTTGAGTTTGACATGCTTGGACTTCAGGCTACTATGGAGGGGAGAGTCTGGGAGAAGCTTAGGAAGTTATATGTTAGAGCTTACAAAAATCTTTGTGAAGGATCATATACTCTGACTCACAAAATAGATTAGTTGCCTTCAAACTGCGAAGACTTTCCAGGGACCATAGAACATTGATAGCTTTAAGAGAATCAATTTCTAGATCCTCAATTTTCCTCAAACTAATTTCCTTAAAAATATATATTTTTCCCTTTTACAAAAGAATTCTCCACTCTTACCCACCCATGTAGCCAGCAATAAGGAATCCCCCTTTAATGATTAATCCAGGTCCCATCGACCCTGAGGGGTCCCTGAATTTCCCTGTCCTAATACACATCTCTGTTGAACTTAATGCTTAGTGATAGAAACACAATGTGCTGGTTCATGTTAGGATGTTCTGAATTTAGAAGCATGATACTGTGTGGTGACAGGAACAATGATAACTTTTGTTTAATATATTTGTCCCTTCATTCTCCAACAACTGTCAAAAAACACACTGAATGAGTGTCTAATGAGACAATGGCAGAGAAGGCTTCAGTAGGGAATACTGAATATAAAAATAAATTGTTCATGTACTTAAATGTAAGTGTAATTCTTCTAAACTAGTATTAACACTCATCTTTAGGAGTGTATCATTAGCTAGAATAAAAGGCATCTCAAATTGCCAAGGTAGAAAACAATTAGTGAAGATGATTCTTTTTAACGTGACTTGGAATGGATTCCAGAACTCAGAAGTTTCCTAGGACATAGGCAAACACATATGGATAAAACTTTTATGTAATTTCTTTCCGATCCATTATGTGTAATTTAGAAAGGCAGTTATTGAATCATATCAAGAAATATTTATTCTACCTATAGTGAATGCTTTTTAAATTTTATTTTATAAAATCTTTAATAATTTATATATCTTATTAACAAAAACTAAAGTAACATGCTAGCTGCCTCACCACGATATTCTTAGCAGGATATACCTTTTAATCTCATTAAATATATAACAAAAGTGTGAACACAATTAATCCCACTAAAAATTCATTTCCAATAAGAGTTGTGCCATATATTCAAAATTTACTTTTCAAATTTTGTATATATTTGTTATATTAAACAATGGTGTTTAATGTATGCAATTTTGTTCAAATGCACAAATAATAGATGTGAAATTAATTCTTCCCAGAATATTTTTAGTACCCAGAGCCTATGTCTCTCAAGTCAAACTGTGACCTCCTGCAGCTTGTTCATCTTTCCGACCTCAGCAGCACTGATCACCATGCTCTGAACACAGAAACAGTGTTTTATAGGAGAAGGAACCTAAGTTTCAGAGTACAGCACAGCTGGATTCTGATCCAGCTGTCATTTACCAGTTGTGAATCTTGGGCCTTACTTAACCTTTCAATACCTCCATTTATCCATCTAAAAAGGAAGCAATGCTTCTCAAGGTTGTGGTAAAGGTTAGACATAATAACTGTAAAACGTCTAGTGTATATCAGAATATCTCTAAATGCTTGCCATGACAACTTTTACTACGTATAATTATAACAAAGAGCTTGTTGAAAAAAAAAAGGAAAATTGCCTGCTGTCCACAGTAACTAGCACAGTGCCGAGCACACAGTGGAAGCTTGTAAATATACCTTGACTGTGACCTGTGGAGAGTGAAGTCCTTATTGTTAAAGACCCACCTTGAACTCTTTCTCAATGTTGGCCAGCACTGCCAGCTCATTGCTAAGCTCTAAAGCTGTCATGACCGGATCTTCGCTAGACAAAGACAGGTAAGCTGGGCTTGCCAGGCCTTTGTAGGCGTTAATCCTAGATCTGGAGTGGCTAAAGGAGTCATGTTTCTGTTTCTGGTTGCATTCGCTGCACTTGCAGAAATAATCGTGAGGCCGTTCAATCCGAGCACCCTTCCGCAGGAGGGTGTGCACGATTTCATATTCCTGGCAGTGGGCGGCCAGAATGACTGGAGTCACGTCATGGGAGAAGCGGGTCCCATCCTCATCGTAGGCATAAAAGTCATCTTGCTGGAGCTCAGACTGGCTGGGGCTGGTTGCTAACCTCTTTCCTTCAGCAAAAGCTGGATGGCTGAGGATGGCTTCCACGATCCGAACATACCCTTTGCTGATAGCTAGAAGCAAGGCGTCCCCGACACGAGAGAGGTTTTCTTTCTTGAGGAGAAGTTCTGTAATTTCCAGGTGCTCGTTGGCCACTGCCAACTGCAGGGCGTTCTGGCCCATGTAATCCACACAGTTCACATTGAGTGAGAGGCATTCTTCCAACATCTTTCTCACCACTGGGATGTTGCCATACTCAGCTGCATCTAAAAAGCGTTCCTCCTCCACGGACAGGCTTGTTGAGCGATCACTAAACATGTATGCTGGTCCTCGGTTAGCTAACCTTCTCCCCTTCTCACGGAGAATTGTCTGCCGCCGGTGAGCCAGTCTGTTGTCGGTGCCTCGGCTGTAATAAAGTAGAAAAATTGTGAACAAATCATATTAAGAGCAGTTTAGTGTGCCAAATGACTTGCCATCTAATGCAATCCTCAAGTATATTAGATGTTGTCTCATTGTCTCTGGACCAACTATAATATAAAATCAAGATGCACTTGCCAGGGCTAACCAGCAGACCCCCAATGACGGATGAATGATCACTCTGACACAGGTTTCTGTGCTTCCCCACATGCATTTATTTGTTCATGGATTCCAAGAACTTCTCCTTTAAGAAAGCCGAGCATTTTGCGTATTTTAAATTCCAATTTGGGGTGAAGACTGGCGATTCCCATATTCTCTCTGTGCCATTCACATAGATATTAATACATGTTTTTCAATCACAGATGGTATAGGCATAAAAAAGACATATAAGCAGTCACCATTATGATATAGAATATGAAAATATTTTTTAAAAGTGGAAAAATAGCAAATTCATTCAAATCAACATATACTTATTGAGTCCCTCCTATGCTAGGGCCAGACATTGTATAAGGCCCAGAAAAACTAATGTGGGGAAAAAAAGGGAAACATTTCTGCCCTTATAACTCTTGTATTCTAATGGAAAATGGGCAATTAGCACAATACCTTGTTATCAGCTGTTTAATTTTCATGATAAACCTAAATAGCAGGGTCATCTAACTAAGGTTATAGGAGAAAGTGAGTTGCAAAAATTAGGAGGATGAGTAGGAGTCAGGTGACAGAGTGTTTGGGAAGGTGAGACAGGTCAGGTTCAGGTGAAGAGTTTTAGCCAGGAGAGGGACCAAGTACATGCTATTGCATGGATTTCATTGACAGGGACCATTCATGCTTGGACTCTACTAGGTATTGTTATCACATTATTGGAAATTTGAGACAATTGTGATCAAGGTGGGAAGGAATTCTTCAATGATGGAGACAGTTTTCAAAGAAGTGGTCAGCCTTCAATGTGATTCCTCCTCTGATCAAAATTCTACAGTGGGGATATTTCTTTTCTTATTGAGTCATAACTTTAAGTCTTAAGGCCTTTTTTGCTAGAAGAGTACAAGCCTTATCACTATCACTAGATAACTATTTATAAGTAATTGTTAGGTAACTATTTCCATTACGACAATGGCAATGCTAGTCATGGTGTCTTTGCAGGTATAGCTTCCCTATTCCTAAAGCCCACAAGTTAAAAGTGCTCTTTCTGTACTCATATGTTTAACATTCTAGGTCCTTATGACTAATTCAACAAAAGTCTGTTCTTCAATGTAAATCTTTCTTTAATGCATTCAACATACTACATTTCTTTTTTTTTTTAGTTTTAGCTTTTTGAGTAATCTCTTCTGTAGCCTTCTGATCTTCCAGTCTGAATTGGTTTATGTAAATATTTAATGAATCATGTTGTCTTTGAATCTTGTATCACCCCAAAGATTCTCGTTGGGTTCAGAAAGTCTTTCTCCGTTAGATTCTAGTTTTTATATTTGCTATTGAGAAATATGATTCTGGATATTCTCTTTGTGTCCACCTGAAATTACATGATCTTTATTGGAGGGAATCTCTTTTTCTCCATAGTTCTGGGCATTCAGTAAATCTTTTAATGGAAAAATGTGTTCTTTCTGAGAAACATTTTCTATTTACTTTCTGATAATTTTGTTTCCTCCTTTGAGTGTTGTTTCTGGAACTTCTTTTTGGATGTTGGACATTCTGGATTTACTTTTTAACTTTCTTATCTTTTCTTTCCTATTTTCATATTGTTTATTGTTTTGCATTATACTCTGGGATACTTATTTGATTGTATGCTATATATTTTTTTTTGAAAAATATTTTTGCTCTTAAGGTTTTAATTTTCAAAAGCATCTTTTTGTTCTTCAAATGTTTCTTTTTATAACACCTTTTCTGCCTTCAAGAACATACTATCTTGCTCTATCTAATTTTAGAGATATTGTGATAAAGACTACACAGATCAGAACACTTCAGAGAATTTACTCCTAAGTTGCTCTTTACTGTTTGTTCTTTATATTTTGCATTAGAGTTTTTCCTCAAATAGCTAGTGATTTTTAAATATTCTTTCCCATTTAAAAAATAATGATTAATTCTAATGTTTTTACAAAGACAGTAAAATTTTCCCTCAGAATTAGCCAGACTCTAATGTTGATTTTAGCAGAAGGTAGTGCTTGGAGGTGAGTTTCTAGACAGCAGCATTATTTCTGAGTTAACAGATGGATGTGGTCACCAAAGAACAACCATCCATCATCTTCCTTCTGAAATTCTGAGCTCTCTTCCTTTCTCTCTGACATTTTTCTGGCTTCTAATAACCTCTTTAGCCTTTCATTTCCCCTCTTGTCTTCTATATGTACTACATTTTATAATTTCTGTTGTATATAAAAGGAAGTTCAATAATTAGGGGGAGGAGAGGTGTCTGCTGAACATAGATAATGCTTTAGGGAAAAAACGATTAAAAATAAGGGAAAAAAGAGCAAGGATTGTGAGATTTCTAAAAGTGAGATGAAAGTACTGAAATTAGAACTTTCAAGAAAAGTTCTCATGTAACTAAAAAAAAAAGACATAAAATTGACACAAAATAGTACCAAGTACCAAATACCAAGAACCAAGCCTCTTTGCTCTTTCTTCCTAAAAATGGGAGAAATAATTATTCTAGCCTATGTTACAGGATTATTTCCAGGGTTAATTGAAATTATAATTTGGAAAATGCTTAAATTGGGATTTCATTGTTTTTCATGGCTAAGGGAATGTGCATTTATATGAACAAGAAGAGACTGACTTTTCCATTTTTCAGCTGTTATTCAATTAGAAGACCCACAAAAAAGCAAGAACTGTAATGGTAATTGATGTGAATGGTTTTTGTCTTTTTATAGAAAGAACAAATATAATCAGTAGCCTTACTCATATCTCAATTTTTAATCTGGTTTCCAAAGTTTTATTTGTTCCTATAACACCTCTAAATTTACACTAAGGTGGAATGTATGCCTGAGTTGTCTTTAACTCTAAAATCTTAAAGTAATTATTTATGATTTAAATGCCTATTGATTTGAATAAGGACAAGTTCTATTTTTAGCAAACCACTAATCTTAAAGCTATTCCTCTTTTGTTCTAAAGTCATGGGTTTCACACCTATAACTTCCATCCTTCCAAAGGAACAGCAAAGACATTTCCACACAAAGCGTTATCTTCGATTTTAAAGCATCTCCTATCTCTTTCATTGGGACCACAAATATTAAGCACATGAAGTGACATCATGATGTTTTTAAAAAGACCCAGATTATCATTATCTCTTTAACACTCTGCCAACAGAAAAGCCAGATGTAGAACGTTTGTGGAGGCATATACGATTGCGTTAGGAGGATGACCACTTGCACAAGGTAGGCAATACTCCTTGCGTGGGTCCTGAGAGAACGGGAAAGCTGCTTGCATGTTGACTGAATAAAATGCATGCTCTGCTGCCTCTGTGTCCTCCCTAAGAAGAGCAAAAGGCTCTATGTATATTATTTTGTCACAAATGCTGTTGCTTAATCCCTGATTTTAGGACATAAAAGCAAAAGTAAAAGCAAACCTAGAGGTGATAGGTGATAGCACCTGTCTGAGAACGGATTTTTAAAGGCTATATAGTATAGAATTCTACATTAATTGCATATGTAACCTAGAAAAAAATATCTGCTAGAAAAAGAAACAGCCTAGAGCACTATGTCAACAAAAGAGACAGTTTCATTCCAGCTAAAGGGCACATTTTTGTTAAGTCTTCTACCAGTATTTAAGGAAAACATTTATTAAGAATGTTTCTGCATCCATTTAGCCATATTCAGCACAGTTGAATATTTAGTTTTCTACATTTTCATTCTGTATTTTTTAAAATCTGTTTAATCACACACAATATACATGTAAATGCCAGTTCTAGAACACAGCGTAACTAGCTGCTGCCCCCGTGGTACTCAAATATTGATTCGATCATGAAAATCAACAGTTTTTGCATACCTCATTGTCCTGAATCTCTCTGCTGGTGAAATAGTGTCTGTTGCCCTGGACAGTGAGAGATGGAATAATCCATCTCTATTGAAAATGCCAGCAACACAAATTAGCCTCTGAGTAGAATGGACTGTGTGCTTGAGTCCAGAGCATGTGCAGTAATTTCCTGTACTTCCTGTTCAAATCTGATGCACTTTCACCAGATGGAACGCCTACAGGCTAAGCACTATAGGAAGCATCTAGCTTAACTTTCATTCTTTGCTTCAAGGATACTTGAAATATTTGAATTAAAGTACAATTCCACTAAAGCAGAAGTGTTATGAATGTAACGTGAATGATACGTAACTATTCCAGGCAGCATGGAAGAGCCAGAAGAGTAGATTTTAAATTCAGCCTTGGAAAATGAATATAAAGGAAACCCCAGAATATGCATCTTATTACCTACACACTTACCCATGGGAAAAAAATTGGACTGGGATATTTAGAAATTAATAATCAACACAACTAGTAATTTTGTGGACTACTTTTAGGGGGATGAATGATAAAAAGTTTCATTCTAATTTTATAAAAATGAGACCGTTATTACTGCCTACTGAATCTCTGGTCACATACCCATCTCCTTTCCTCAGGGTGGAAGGAGTACTAACCAATTAAAGTGATTTTCCTTCGCCTCCTGAGAGCAGTGACTGCTTTGCCTCGTTCACCACTGGATCCCCAGTGCTCAGCAGAAAGGAACATTGCAAGCACTTTGAACATAACTGTCAAATGCACGAATCCCTCTTGTCAAAGGAATAAAGTTCAAAGCCTGTTTGTTCCCTATGAAGCCGACATCAAATCACTACGATGTACAACCTTACAAACAAAAAAGCAACAAAACGTAAAGGCTGAACCACAGCGTTCCCCCGTGTATACATAGTATTTTATATTCACTTCAAATAAGCAGCAAGCTCTTCAGAGAACGAAGAAAGTTGAAAGGCATCTTTTTTAATGACATCCTTGCGATTTGTTTTTAATCCAGAAATGGAGAAT